CCCCCTCTGTGCCATAAACACTCAAAACCTTTGCAACTTCTGTCAGCACAGACGTTTCGCCTTATCACCTGACTTTTCCCGCACCCAGGCGGCGTTGGTTCATGAATGCGTTTGCGCTTCAACTGAGTTTTGCTCGTTGGTTCATGAATGCATTTGCACTTCTGTAATGAAGCCGACACAAGAACAAAAAAAAAATCCTTCAGATGAACACCTGGGGTCACGATGGTGTGAAAACCCCTGTCGCTATGGCCTGGTTGAACTACTCGCCATCCACCAAGATTTTGAATGCATCTGGATTCTGGACAACAGGATGTCCACATGCATTCGAATCTTGGCGGATGGCGAGTAGTGCAACTAGCCCCTCACACTAGCCACTCGACATCGCAACATGAACGGCCAGATCGAGTCCTCACAGAAAGGACTCCATCTGGCCGCTCATATCGCGAGATTCTGGGACTTTGAGGGGCTGATGTGAGTATAGGGCGACGCCACAACCGCTCACAGAATGTGAAAAAGACAAAACATATGGCAGGTGTATCCTTTCTATGTAAAAAGTTGGCAATTCATTGGGCCCATATAGTTTGTTTTTGAATTTTTCGCTGAATTTTTCACCGAAACTGTCGGCGAAGACGGCAAATTTTTGGCCCTCTGTTAACCGCGTGTCGATTCAAAGCAACACCACCATCATCATCATCATCATCACCATCAACCAGCCATCGCCCTCACCATCATAGGGGGCTCGCGCCACTGCTCTCCAGATGCACAAAAGACAAAAAATATTGTGGTGTATCTTTCCACGTTCTTGTGCAATACACTCAGTGAATTTCAGTCTCATTTCACACATTTGGAGAGTAGTGGAGCGGGGGCCCATCATGACCACAAAGATGATCAGAAAAGCCAGCTAGAAATAATAAACACTCCAGAATGAAAAAAAGGCCCACAAAGATAAAGTTGATAAACTAAAAAGACATAAATAGGGCCTCACTGCACTACTCACCACGTGCACAAAAGACAAAAACTATGGCTGTGTATATTTCCATTTTCTAGCGGAAGATTCATTCTCGTTCTGCACATTTAGTGAGTAGTGGAGGGAGGCCCAGGCCCATATTTCCACACCCCCCCCCCTCCTTCTTTGCAAGTTCACCCAGGTTGACCAGCCCGGGCTGGGCGGCCCTGATAACATAGTAAATAAGTAAGAAGAAGTATTTGCATGAGTACGCACTTACTTTAGACAACGGAGCTGTTTTCTCGAAAACAGCAACCTGTAGGGAGCGGCAAAGGTCCTTGGCGCGCAATGCGCCAAAAATTCCCGCGGCTCCGCCGCCAATCACTGCCAGAACCTTCGGCATTCGATTGCAACCCACCTGTGCACACCGTTCATCCATGTCGTTCAAGTCCACAGGGAAACAATCAAAGAGCAAAGAAGAAACAAAAAAAAAAAAAAAA